ATATATATATATATATATATATATATATATACACACATATATATATATACGGAGTTTTGAGTTAGAGAAGTTTGTAAGGATATATATATATATGTGTGTGTGGGTGGGTGGGTGTGTATTTATATATACACACACAAAAACTTGAATATTTTTTTTACCAAACTGTTCTTTATTTACCACATTTCTTTTTATTTTACCGCGTTCGTAACATCACAAGCTACTTTTCAATATAAACGATAAAAACCAGAAAATAATTAAACACTTTTTTGAAAAGTAGTAAATTTACGTTTAAAATTTTCATAAAATATACAAATTTTGGTTTGTATAGTTTTATACTGAAGAGTAAAAAACAAAACCCCATAAAATTCGAGTTTTCTTACACATATTCATCTCGAAGAGAAACCATCTTGAATTACATTTTATGTAAAGAGAGAGACATTATACATATATATTTATTATGTAGATTTAGACTTGTATGTAAGCTTATAAAAAACGTGTATGTGTGTATGTATACTTTCCAAAGGCAATCACTTATCATTGTGAATATAGATCCATTTTTCATTTGTTTATAAATATGCATGTAAATATCATATTTTAAGCACATACAATTTGTAATATCAATCCTCGTGTATACACAGAATTTTATATATTTATAAATTTGTATGTGTTTTAAGATTTTATCCTGCATGTAAATCATTATGTATTTATTGATCTGTGTGAACAAGAGACAAATGTATGAATATCTGTTTTTAGTAGATCTACTTCAGCGAAAAAAAAGTTTGACAGAACTACTAATATATTATTGGGAAAAACGCTGTCAGACAGCTCTACCTAGATATCATTTCTTTTTGGTTTGTTTGATGAAAAAACCTTCAAAAAAAATGTAGTACGAATTAGCTGTACAAAGTAATGTAAAGAAAATCAATATTCAAAATGAATTATGACGACCACACTTCTACCCAGCTATATTCGATGCAAATTGAAGTCACGAAAATCACTTCCTTTTCTACGACCTCGCCTTTTTTCTTTCTATCGTAATGCAGTTCATGCTATTACAGCTTAAACTGACCTTTGGTCAAATTTCATCGAAAACTTTTGAGTACGTTTTTTTGAGATATTTAGTTCACATAAAGATATGACTATCGTAAATTTTTCTCCATATTATCAATGATTTCTAAAACTAATTATCATTTTGGCAGTGACATTTTTTTTTTCTGCTCTTCTGATACCACTGTACAAGTATGCTAGTTGTGTAAAAATCTATTGCTTTCCCATCAAAATGTCTGCAAATTTAGCTTTCATTATTGAAAAGATCTAACGAACAACCCACGCTGACAGCTAGCTTGGGTACAGCTTGTTGATGATAGAGGAGCTTTCAATGAAATAAAAATACCCCAGTGAAATGCAATGTTTTTCAAGGGCTCGAAGGAAGCATTTCGAATGAACCAAAATTGTTTATATATATATATAAGCTACACTAGAAAGCCATCAGTCTAGGTTAACATTTCTGTGTGATTTATAAACCTTTTTTTTTTCGGAGATAAGTCGAAGTACTGTTCGGTTAGTTTCTCCGGTACGACCTGAACAAGTGCTTCTAAAGAACACATCATAACACACAAGTAACAACTATTTTTCGGTAGGTTGGTGAGTGCGATTCAGCTTGGCACGCGCTGCAGGTTGTCAGCTGGCACAGTGCGTGACGGCCGCATGTTAGCACATCTGGTCACGCGCCGGCGTTACCATGGCGACTTCAGCGACACTCCGCATCCCCCAAGCAGTTCAGAAGGGGTCCTTGTAGTGTAGAGTATGCGAAGAAAGAGGGCCAGTTCTCTCTTATCTCAGCTAGGAACGCGACGTGGCTTATAACACAGGACAGGTTGTTTAGTATGGTCACTGATGAAGCTTGGATTTGAGTTGTACACCAAGTTTCAGAGGCAGTAGTCAAACTCAAAAGAACTTTATTAGCTCTACTAAAGATTACATGTGCTAACATTGTTATGTGCGTTGAGCATAACTTGTTTCTAGCTCGGAAATTTGTGTAATTTATGAAAACTGTACACTCTTAGCTGTCTACCGGTTGTTTACTCATTGCAGAAGAACCCAAACTCCTACCCCACACTTCATGGAATCCCATTCCGCTACTGCAGAGCCCGTGAATAGGGTAGCAGAAGCTGATGCCATGAGTGACGATAGTGGAGTGGACTTGAGAACTTTGGCTGGAGCTTTGACCCCGGGATCTAGCCGTAAGAACAAGCGAAAGTCGTCTGAGCCCAGGAGGAGGCGAGAGATCTTACAAATGAAGCAATTTCGTTGGGAAAGTGACGGGAGCGACACAGAGCAGGGCTTTACTGACCGTCCGTCTAGTGGTGACAGTGGTTGCATCCCTGACCCTAGTCCAACAGCCGTTGATATCAGTCTGTCCAGAGCTTCAACTTCTTCTCTTACAGAGTCTCGGGAGAGTGTAATCCAACGACTGAAGTCCAAAGGAGTCCGTAATTCGCGAGCTTCATGCTCTTCTTTTGATGAAGCAGGACCTTCAGGTTTATCAGTGCACCATTATACTCAGCGCCATCCTGCATTCCAACAAGAACACCAGTTAACTGGAAATGGTATCAGTCAGTTCAACCTGGACGGGGCCACAAACAAGCCACATGAGGATCTTTGTAGGCTGGAACCTACACCTAGTGAAGAGGACAGTATACATCCTGCCCTAGCAGAACGCTTTACAGCGTCTCAGCGGCCAAGAAACTACAAAAACTTGAGTCGGCAAAGGAGAATAGAGGCCAATGCTAGAGAACGGACACGAGTTCATACGATCAGTGCAGCATTTGAAAACCTTCGGCGGGCTGTTCCGGCTTATGCCGATAGCCAGAAGTTGTCCAAGCTGGCCATTTTGAAGATTGCTTGTGCCTATATCATGGCTCTAGCCTGTTTGAACGATCTCGATTACAGCCGTGAGCAAAGTCGGCCAACATTTGCTGATTGTGTAGATCTCTGCACTCGAACCATTCAAGCCGAAGGAAGGGCACGCAGGAGATCAAAGGTGAGTTAATTAAAAATATTATGTTATTAAATTTAAAGAAATTCATTAAGTTCGTGTGTAATCTACGAACAGAGAATATAAGCCAGTTAACGGAAATTTTGGTTTTGGTTTTATTTCATATCTTTCAGAAGCATTAAAAAAACGAATTCAAACAAACAAAAATCTATCTTATATTAATTGAGCATAAATCCTAGTGTAGCCCTAATTCACACACTGTGGTTTATAGCTTGAAGTTGCGTATGTGACATGTGGCGCCATCTTTCATTTTTTATGAAAACAAATTGTGGACGGACAGACGGACACTGATGATTTGATTAATAGAATTAGCTGTTTATAACAAACTATTCTATGGTACTAACTTTTAAAAAGTTTTAACCCATAAAAAAAAACCAGTAACAAATTCTTATGTTATGTAGTATACTTTAAGACTATCTTGTTTGTGACAATTCTGTCTTCAAGAGCTTAATTACAATAAATTTTAACAGGTTTTTTATTAGTGTATTATTATTTTGCTGTTAAATGTTATAAAATTATGTGATCAAAATTTTTTTAAGGTTAAATAAAAAAACGATTTAGAAAAAATCATAAGTATTTACAAATATTAATCAACCAGTGAGCATTAAACGGCATTATGATATTAGTATTATGTGCCCAGAATTGCCGCCAAGAGTAACGTGGAGCATGGTGTTTTGTTTATTAAAGTCATGATCAGGAGGTGAAATATGAAACTTTGGAGTTTAGTTTGTTGTGATGACACGTTCGAGTTTCTGATATCTCACGGTCTACCCAGTTACCTAACGTCACTGTTTGGAAAAGTATAGTGAGTTTAATTTCGGAACTGTAGGTGTTAATGCGACAGCTGGGCTATATTCTTTATTATGACGGCTAAAAAAAAGACAAACCAGCCTACGTGTTTGCTTTTTTGTTTTTCACTTTAGATCTATTAGCTTTTATTATTATTTTTTTGTATCAAAATAATATAAAAACATATAAGATATTAGCCCATACGAATATTTCACTTAACCAATATAAAGCCATCGAACATTATTTTTAACGATAAAATAATCTGTCGTGTAATCAAATTTCAAATCGGTGTTGTTGCTGGTACGCGCGTGTGTGTTTGTTTCAATATGGCAACATTAACTGTTTTAACAGTTGGTTTATAGTTAAATTTTGCTTAGACTTAGATGCACACTTAGCTACGTAAGTGTTTACATTACGTTATTTTTTTATGAATTTTAACTATCTAAGTAATATATTTTTTAATTAATCCGAGATTAATTAGTTCTTTAGTACATTCAATTTGTTTGATTTCCACTAAGATTCGTATTCACAAGGTATAAGCTGATCTTTTGGTTGGTCAACCATTCGAAAAAAATCCGTAAGGGCATAAGAAGATATTTTCAACGATCAGTAGAAAAAAAAACGCGAAGTAGAAATCTCTATCTCTGTATATGTGTGTATTACACAGAAACAAATAAAAGCGATATTTAAGATCAATAGTCATGTGATGGCGCTGAATGTCACTTCACTATTCGCCAAGTGATATAACCGCCGTTGATCCGCTTCTGTTTAAACTTCGGTAATAATTTTGTGTACAAGAACGGTTAAGGTAGAGGAGATACGTACTCATATTGGTGTTGCGTTATTATTCTCAAGCAGAATCTCAACAACGCAGCTCGAACTAATTATAGAGTTGGTAATTACTACGCTAATGAAAGGAACTAATACTTTGTACATAAAACCATTTTTTTTCGGCATCATCTCACAAACTAGACCTAGTAAGGAGTGTTTGGCCAGATTTCTGTATTAAGCTCTTCAGAACGTCATGCAGTTCACCCATTCTAAAAAGTATAGTTGTAAAACTGGAGTGTTTTTTATTAAATGAAGTCTATATACGTTTTTGTAAAGTAAAAAAACAACGCCAACTATATCTAACATTATGTACTTGCAAATCTTTTTTTTATTTTTTGCAAAAAAAAAGTATTTCAAATGTTATGCCATTGCTTGATGAATTATTCTAAAATCAACTTCAAGATTTGTTAATATATATATATATGTTAATGCTTTTTATTCAAAACTATTAAGATTAAGAAATTAAAAGAATAACATTACAAGCAACGTATTGTTGTGTTTACCACCAGCGTCATTAGTCTACAGACGCCAGTATGCCCCATAGGGGTCAGTGGTAAGTTTATGGACTTATAACACTAAAAATTCGAGGTTCGATTTCCCATGGTGGTCAGAGCGTAGGTAGCTTTTGTGTAAATTTATGCTCATGCATACAAAACATCAGAAGTTTGCTGCAGACAGTCATCGTATATTTATTGATTTGATACGCGTTCAAGCTATAAAAGTTTTTGTAACAAAAAAATTACCGCACGTAAACATCAAATCAGATTTGTTTTTAAAAAGCTGATTTTGTTATCACACCTTTTGTTCAAACCACCAGATGGAAAGCGGATATCACAATTAATTTAGCATAGCACTTCTGTTAAAGGTGACACCCCCACCCCCCGCAGTGGCTCAGCGGTAAGTCTGTGGACTTATAACGCTAAAAATCGTATTTCGATACCCGTGATGGTCACAGCATAAATAGCCCATCGTGTAGCTTTGTGATAAACTATAAACAAACAAAAGTGTTAAAGGTGACCCAAATTCTACATGTATTTGATAATCAAACAGTAAAATTGAGTAATTAAACAAATAATTAAAAATGTGATTTTTCCTTGTATTTGTTGAAATTAAACATAAAAATGTGTGTTTGAGCTCTTATAGTAAATTTGAGATCTTAACTCAAACCTTAAACATAGCTGACATAAAATAAGCAGTTTTTGAAAGAGATTATTTTACAGTCTCAGTTGCACTGCATGTGTGCCGCCTTGAATCTGTGGCATCATACGGTACATTCTTGGTCGACAAGACGGCTTGTTAAACAGCCATTCAGAAAGTTGGCCCTGACTAAAGCAACCACTTGTTTCTTGCCTTACTCGATCCAGGCGTAACTCGAAACCCCGAGGCTACAAGCTTGTCGGCGCCGCACGCTGTGGGGAGCGAAATCGCACGTGGCCTTACGGGGTCAGCTCGGCGGTCGTTGGCTGCTTGGCGCCATTGCTACTTTCCCGTCGTCCGACGAGGGCCAGATGGACTGGCCTGGACCGCACGTGTTCAGTACCAAAGGCGTGAGAACGCACACCAACGATAACGTCGCAGGTGCCCGTCGGCCCACCCAAAGGCACTTGTGCTTTGATCTGGTCCTGTAACATCTGGGCAATCTTGGCTAAGCTTCTTTTTTGTCAGGCCAATCTACCCTTTTAAAGTCTGTCTGTAATACAGTCGACTGGAAATGCTGTAGCTAGAAAAAAAGTTCCTTCCTTGTCAATGATTAAAAGCACTAGAAGAACTTAGCTTGCAAGAACGAAACAGTACAAGAATAAACTACACCATTGTATATAACTACAATTATACTTAGATTGAGCAATATTATGCTCAGACAAACATTGATATTTGCATATGTATATAGATAGATAGATAAATACATTTATTTGATTGTCTATTAGGGTTGGATTAAGGACTTGGGAGTCCGGGACATATTTTGTATTTTGGGGAGGTGGTGGGGATTAGATCTAAACTTCACAAGTAAATCAAATGCATAATTCCTTTTAAGACACATTGTGCTGGTATATTAAGAGTAACAATTACAAAAAAACGTCGTTTTTTTTGTAATTGTTACTCTTAATTATTTGTTAACTAAGTCTGAGTAATACATAAGTACAAGCGATGGGTAAATAATATACAAAATACTTATTCTAATAATTTTAATAAATATAAAATAATGACAATGATTTTTGTTGTTGTTGTTAAATGGCCGAGTAAATATTTATGAAAGAACAAGCTGTAAGAATGTATCAATGAAAAAATAAAAAAGTAGTTTATAAGAAACGATTAAAATCGCTGTTGTCAATAGCGGCACAGTAGCAAACATGTTTTTCAATGAAACATTCGGTTTTTTGTGTATTTTTTATTTTATTTTTCCCTTATTCAGGGGACCAGGGGTAATTGCACCCATTTCTCCCCCATCCACCCCACCCCCTTTAATTCGGCCATGCGTTTACGTTACTCTGCCGAAATCCATTGTTTTTGTTTCATTTGTCTTTCAGCACACGTTTACGTATCCTTTTAACAAACTCTGGGCTGGGTGTGGTCAAGTGGTTAGCGTGCCGGACTGTGAATTTGAGGCTCCATGGTTAGCGTCACATGTAACAAGAAAGAAATTGCGCTTCGCACTTCGAGACAATGGGTGCGTTATAAGAATGACGGTAAAATTCCGTTATTTGATTACAATAGCCCAAGTAGATGGTGAGCGCTGGTGACTAGCTGGCATCCCGATTGTCTACCAGTTACAAATTAATGACGGCTAGTACAGATGACTCTTGTTTAGCTTTGCGTGAATATTCGAAAACGGACACACCATTCATCTCCACATACTTTATCTGTTTAGAAAGCTTATACTTTAATGTGTCTCTTTTGTGCGAAAAGCTGGGCGTTTAGCTGTACAGTATTTGATTCAGTAAAAAAACATTTAACTTTTAGCACATCTCGAAGATATATATCCACATTTTGTTTTTCCTTTTTCATAAAACCAGCACATTGGATCAAGTAAAGAAGACAAAGCTAATCCTTAAAAGCATTCAACAGGTGGTCTTGTATTCTTCAGGATAGACGCTTTCGATACATATATATATATATATTGTTTGATGTTCAGATGTTAACATTTGAAAGAATTATTTTAATAAGCACTAAATATGCTACTACTTAATACGTACAAACCTAAAGATTTATGTTAGAATCTCAAGAGTGACTCACCGAACCTTTAAATGTAGTATGTTATTGTTATTTAAAGTCGTTCAAACAGTAAGGTGGCGTTGTCCGCACTTTTTGAAGAAAACAGGCGTAAGCTGTGTACAAAAGTTGGTTGCTTCACGATCAGGCTTAACTCG